TGATGAGTCGAATGTTGTGAAGGAGGCCCCCCCCTAATTTCGATGGGGCCCAGAAGGCTTTTTCGTTTGGTTGTCGTTTGTGGCTGTCCAAAGAAATCGCCGTGCCCTGCGCGGCTGAAGTCGCGGTGCGCTTCCCAAGGTCGCCCCGGCGCGCGCCCCGGGAGCGCCGAGAGGCGATCGAACTGTCCGCGCGCAAGACATCGCCGACAATATCCGCGAAGCCTCTGCCGCAGAAGACGGCCGCAAAGAGCGGCGACTAGCCCAGTGTCTCCAGGCATTTGGCGGCGCCGATGGTCGGCGCGTCTCAGGAGCACCGCCGCTCAGGAGATGATGCCGCCATGGGACCTCTCACTGCGCCAAAGCGGAGGAAGCGACCGCGCGCTCGGCGGGGGAGCTCGCGGCCGCTCGCCACCGCCGTCAACTCATTCCCAGTTCGACGGGTAGCCGCGGTGCGCCTGATGGCATCATCTCTTTGGACGCCGCGCGCGCGACCGCTCTCAGCGCGGCGAGCAGGCGCGCTGGGGGGGCCCGATCCGACCGCCACTGATATGCGCGAGACCGCCCCTGGGGACATATCCCGCTTGGCCCTGCCCCTCCTAGTCTGGCGCAGTAGTTGCGTGATTAGGAGGCCGCTCGCTGGGAAAAGCGGCGCGGCCCATGACTGGGCCAAGATAAGGGCCCGCCGTTGACTCTCAAACTCTTGAGAGATTCTGCGCGGAGCACATGCGCGCAAGCGCCGTGTCGAGCTTTCGCGGCGGAAAACCTCGGAGGCGGCGTCTGTTACGACGGGCGAGGATCAGCGCGGGCGCAGGCCAAGCAAGGGCGCGGCCGGGGCGCCACGTCAAGCGCGAGTTTCCCAGAACCACGTGGAACGACAAGGCCACTCCGCCGCGATATGTCTCGCTGACCTCCGAGCCGCCCTTCGCGCTGCGATCGAGGAGTTTTTTCTGATGATTGCCCGGCGCGGCGGGCGACTTGGAGGAAGCCGTCGACGGTGCCCAGCTACGCGCGGCCCTCGATCGCGCGACGAGGCGGATCTTGGCCGGGCCCGCCATCGTTGAACGCGCGGGTAGTGGGCGCGCCCACGGCGCGATGCAGGACGTCAGCCCCCACGCGAGGTTCAAAATCAAAAGGGCCGCCGAAGCGGCATGCGCGACGGCGGGGGCTCGACCCAGCATGCGACCAGCAGATGCGCTTTCGCGCTTTCTCGCGCGCCGGTGCACGAGCGTTTGCGCGAGCGTTCTCTGCCGAGAAGCTTGCTTGTGTCGCGCAACATCTGCGCGATGCGCCCGCTCATGCTTTCGCCCGTCGGGCGACCGGCGGGATGCCCCGACGCGTTCGCCGTCGCACGTCGATGAACTGGCCGCGCTGCTGTCCAGAAGGTCAGCGCGAAACTATCAGCCTTGCTCAGGTTGCCATGGGGAGTGCTATTGGTGGGGCGAGGTCCAGGGGTTCTCGTGCTGACTACCCTGCATCGCGCTTGACCACCTCCACTGCTCGCGCAAACATCCCACCCGCCCACCCGCAAGTTGGTTTGCAAAACCTCTTAAGACCGTGACGGTGGGTACCAAATGGCACGTGGCAACGACAGCGACGCCGACGACGACAGCGACAACGACGACGACGACGACGCCGCCGACAACGACTACGACGACCCCGACGACGTCTCCAAAAACTTCGACGACGCCGGCAAAGACGACGACGACGACACGGACGACGACGACGACGCCGACGCCGATGACGACGACGATGACAACGACGACGACGATGACGACGACGACGACACCGGCGACACCGACGACACCGACGACGACGACGACGTCAACGACGCCGACGACGACGACGACGATGGCGGCGACGACGACGACGCCGACGTCGACGACGACGAAAGATGACGACGACGCCGACGCCGACGACGACGACGAAAACGTCGCCAACGAAGGCGACGACGACGAAGGAGGGAGGACGACGACGGCGACGACGACGACAACCACGAGGGAGCAGGGAGGACGGCGACGACGCGAACGACGAAAAAGGAGGAAGGACGGCGACGCCGACGACGACAACGAGGGAGGAGGGAAGACGACGACGACGACGACGAGAACGACGACGACGACGACGACGACGACGGCGACGAAATAGGAGGGACGACGACGAGACGCCGACGACGGACGACGACGACGACGAACGAGGAGGAGGAAGGACGACCACGGCGACAACGACGATGGAAACGACCACGACGCCAAAGAGGACGACGACGACGACGACGAGCACGAAGAAAGACAGAGGACGACGTAGGCGACGACGACGACGACGCGGAAGGAGGGAGGACGGCGACGACAACGACGACGCAAGAACGCGCGCACGCTTTTGTTGAACATCCGTGTGGCGGACACACGATTTTGACATCCTTCCGAAACCGATAGGTTTTGAAGGATTCCGGCATACGCGCGCGACGACGCGCGCGTCTGCACTTCGTCCCATTTGTTGCAAAGAATTTTCGCGACGGCACACGCGCAAGGGCGTGCGACAGATTTCGACATGCGCGCGCGAAGCCCGTTTGGTAGCATGTTGTGAAAATCTTGAAAAACCGATGGTTGTCTTAAGATTTCGCAAGATCTCGCGCGTAAGCTTCTTTAGCAACTCACTGTTGCGAAACCTTGTGTTGTTGTATGTTTTCTTTTGGAAACTCGATTGCGAAATCTCTCCGAAACCGATGGTTTTTTAAGGATGTCGGCATGCGCGCGCGACGACGCGCGCGTGTGCACTTCGTCTCATTTGTTGCAAAGGATTCTCGCGACGGCACGCGCGCAAGGGAGTGCGACAGATCTCGACATGCGCGCGCGAAGCCAGTTTGGTAGCATGTAGTGAAAATCTTGAAAACAACCAATGGTTGTCTTAAGATGTCGCAAGATCTCGTGCGTAAGCTTCTTTAGCAACTCACTGTTGCGAAACCTTGTGTTGTTGTATGTTTGGTTTGGAAACTCGATTGCGAAATCCTTCCGACACCGACGGTTTTTGAAGGATTTCGGCATGCACGCGCGACGACGCGCGCGTGTGCACTTCGTCCCATGTTACGCAAGGGGTTCGCAAAACACTCCTATGTTAGACCACAAATGCCCCCGCGTATCGTTTTTTTTACAAGGGACCGATCCCGGTTCCCATGGGATAGTGTAAATTCATATTTAGGATGGACATATAGTCATAAACATATATGATTTGCATACCCGAAAGAGGGGCGGATAACGCCGTGGGGGGTAGAGTCTATTCTCTTTTAAGGGAGGAGAATCAAATAAGGCAAGTGGAAATCGTCTGCTCTGACGCGCCGCAGCGGCCGCAGCATGCGTGGCGTTTTGAAGGACCTCGGTGCGTTGAAGGGTAGGTTTTCGGTGTCGCGCGTCCGTTAGCGCGCGCGCCTGGCGCGCGCGCGCACGTGCACTTCTGCCCCATGGCTTTTCATGGAGGAAGGATGACAGCGGAGCTCATGCGTCTCAGCGTGCTCGGGGACCTCAGAAGCGCTGTTTTCTGCCATGATCGCGCGACGTTTCAATGCAGCCGTTCGGGCGCCGACATCTGTCATGAATCAGTCGTTCCTCGAATCCTCGCACCTCGCCTCGACCCGTGCTGTCGCGGGATATGAAACCAAAGGTGGCGAGTTTGTGCCTGGTCTAAAGATGAGGTGCATTTCGCCAGTTGCCGTATATCGCCCCTTGTCGTGCTCAGGTTACGTCGGCGTCGGTTCCTACAGCGGCGTGTTGTATGTGTTTACAATGGGTTGCTGTATGTGTTCGATTGCATGGTTGATGCCCAGGGTAGTTGGGCTGAGCTCGCGCATGAGGACGTGCTGTGGATGTATGATCGCGTCACGGTGCTTGGTCCCTGGAATCCTGTTGGGGGCTCTCTTGGCGGGCGTCCGTGGCTCGGAGTGATGCTAAGCATTGGAACTCTAGCGCAGGAAGGCTGAACGTAGTGCGTAGGCTGAGGAATTGCCCCTCGCCGAGATCGTGCCCGGCATCCTGGGCGTTGCAAAATGCGCGCGCGTGGTGAGCTGAGAGCACCCGCTGTCATTCGACCGCCCAAATCTGACGTAGTACATCCTTGCAGAGAGCGCCATCATATTTTCGGCACCTAGGCGTCATGGTCACGCCATCGTACTTCAAGGCGTCCGCAATTCGACTTAGCATGTTCAGTTGCATTCGGCATGGGCTTTCAGGACACTCGCGCGGCAAAGTTCTAAAGCATCTGAAGTTCGGTTCCAAGCGGTGTCTGCCGACGCTCGTGTATGCCCAGCCGACTTGCTGACTATGTTTGAACGTTCCTCCTGTAGAGGCCGATGTTCCTCCTGTAGAGGCCGACTGAATGTTAGGCAAGTGCTTGTCGCAGACCATTATGCAGGCCGCTCATGTTTGCTGCGCCAGCCGGGGCAGCGTGCACGATCGAGCATCCAGCTGAGCCTGGGCGCTCGCACATACCATCGACTATGAGGCTTCCAAAAGTGAAGGCCCTTTTGGCTTTGGGCCCAAGCGCATGTTACGTTCGCTAAATTCGACCAGTGCAGTTGTGGGGCCCAGCCGAGGAAACAGACAACTCTTTTGGCTGTTTGAATGTTTCCCGTCTGAATGAGTTCGTCCAGATGCTTCCTGGCTGCGGCCGATGTGTGCAGTTCTCATCCGATGTAGCTACTTGGCGTGCATGCCTCAGGTGGGTTTAAGCGTCGGCGGCAAAGCTGTATCCTTCCAGGGTGTCGCGTATGCTTGTGCAGTCTTTGATGTCCACTGTTACAAATCTTCAAATGGTATGCTCCTCTTGACTCGCATGTCAGTGCCAATGGGTGGGGGAACGCACCCGGCCTACATCGGCATGGGTAAAGCCCGCGTCTCTTTTGCTTCCTCTCCCTCCTCCTCCTCCTCCTCCTCTACCTCGTTCGCGCACGATCGTCAGCGCAGCAGCTGGCTTCAGGCGGTGGATGCAGACGAAAGAGGAGGAGGAGCAGGGAGCAGGGGACACAACAAAGAAGAGGAGGACCGGGAGGAGGGGGAGCGCCGGCCGTGCCGAGCGGCCGGAGCGGGGGCGCCATTTGTCGGCGCAGGGCGGCCGCTGTCGGCTCACGCGCGGGGGCGGCGCGCTCTATTTCCCCGCCCTGCGCGGCGGCGGGGGGTTACCAGCCTGGAACATATCCCTATCCCTATGCTGGGCATCTCCTCATCACGATGCCAATCTTAGGGATTCCCTTATTCCCTACCTAGGCTCTGCCTAGAGGGGTTCTTACCGTGTTCTCTTAAAGGGGCCGGGCAGTGGAACCCGCCCCGGGCGGTTCCCCCAGGATCCGCCTCGTGGTTCCCCCAGTGACGTCCCCTCAGCTCAGCGTTGTTTATCTCATCTTAGCTTAGCATATTTCATCTTAGCTTCGGTTAGCTTCATCTTAGCTCAGGTTGATCTTAGCTTAGCTGACCTGAAATATTTAGCTTCGCCGAGCTGTAGAATAGCAGAGCACAGCATAGCATAGCAGAGCGTAGCACATCATAGCATAGCAAAGCCCAGCATAGCATAGCATAGCGCAGCATAGCATAGCATAGCATAGCATAGCGCAACACAGCACAGCATAGCACCGCGCAGCATAGCATAGCATAGCATAGCATAATATAGCATAGCACAGCAGCAAAGCACAGGCAAAGCAACAGCAGCGACAGCAAAGCAAAACACAAGCAACGCAAAGCACAGCAAAGCAAAAGCAAAAGCTTAGCTTAGCTTAGCATAGCGCAGCGCTGCATTTGCACTGCATAGCATAACATAACCTAGCCAAGCATTGCATTGCATAGCATTGCATCGCGCAGCATAGCATGGCATAACATACCATAGCATAGCGCAGCTTAGCATCGCATATCATAGCATAGTTTAACATGGCACAGCGCAGCATGACATATCATAGCTTAGCATAGCATAGCATAGTGCAACATAGCATAGCATAGCAAAGCAAATCATAGCATAGCGCAGCATAGCATGGCATAGCATAGCATAGCAACTACTGCTGCTTTCGTTCCTAGGGGCTCCAACTTCTAGGTAGGGTCGCACTGGGGTAATTTTCTGAGGGCGCATCCATAAGATTGTCATCGCCTTTTGGCGTGTCAATCTTAGGGATAGGGATAAGTTCGAGGCTGGTAAGGGGGGGCGGGGGGGGCGAGATCGAGCTCTTCCCTTCCTGCCGTGGTCCTCCGCCGACATGGTCGGCCGACAGCGCCGTCCCGCGGCTCCCGGGCGAGCTGGCCAGGGCCAGAGCTCGCCAGGAAGCCGCGGAGCATGCGCTGCCCCCCAGCGCTGCAGGCCGAGCCGGGGGGGGGAGGCCCCCACATGGCTGAAGCGCCTGCGGCGCAACGTCGCCCTCCACGCCGACGCACGGCGAGCGCAAGGCTGTAAGGCCGAGCAGGGCGACAGCACAGTCGGACACCGACGGAACCACCAACGAAGCCGAATCCGAGCGAAACCAGATCGGGTGAACGCAGCCCACGAGGGCGAAGTGAAGCAGAAACGACGCAACACCTGACCGAACCAACACAACCGTACGCAACCAACTACAGAGCAGCCGAGCCCACCGAACCACGGACATCCTTGATATTTCCTCCCTCGCCCCTCCTTCCCCGTCATGTTCCATCTGCCCCTCCTCGTCCTCCTCCTATCGTCGGGGGAGCGCCCGCTTGGATATCGGTGTACCCCCCCCCGGAATGATGGGGAGGGGCAGGAAGAGGAACATCGTGGAGGAAACTCGCGAGGAAGGAGGAGGAGGAGGAGGAGGGGGAGGAGGAATAGGAGGAGGAGGGGGAGGGGGAGGGGGAGGAGGAGGGGAAGGGGGAGGAGGAGAAGGGGGAAGATGAGGAGGAGGAGGAGGAGGAGGGATAGGAGGAGGAGGAGGAAGAGGAGGGAGCAAGAGGGCCGCCGATATCTGTACTGGCCCTGCTCCCCTATCTCCTCCCCTCCCCCTGAGACTAACCAAGCCGTCCCTTCCCCGCCGAGGGGTTGCGGCGAGGATGTCAATGGCGGGGACTTGCGTCGTCTGCCAGATTTGCCCGTCCATCTCGGGGTCGAGGAGGTCCAGCACCTCAACGCCAGGGGGCGTCCCAACGCAACCAGCAGCCTGCGAAAGCGGTTTGGCCCAATGCCCTCCTCTGGAACCCCATCCCACATCCCTCTCCCTCCTCTCATGGTTCCTGCCCCTCCGCCCCTCCGCCTCCCTTTTGTTCCCTCCTCCCGTACTGCCTCCTCCCCCCTCCGTCCTCCCTCCCTCCCCCCCCCTCTCTCAATTTCCTCGCAGAGCGCGGGATCCTAGCCCAAGTGTCGCGGACCCTGTCGCCATACGCGTGCCCTGGTATTTGACGAGGGACACGCACGTTGTTGAAGATACGCGCCACTGTGCGTTTGCAATGCACGGTGAATGGCACACGAACAACCATAACCAATACCGTATGTGACGTGCGCACGCGCATGTCGCCAACCACGTGCAGTCGCCAACATGGAACTTGCTCTCTGCGGCAAGCGGTGCTCCCAATCGTTGTGTGTCTGGTGTAATGCGCGCGGCGTGGACGCCAAACGTAAATCCCACCAACCCTCTGGGCGTATGTGGTTTAACGAACGTGTGTCGTCTCTCTGCTAACATCCGTCATTCTCCTGCTCTGGGGAGGTTTACCCCTCCCCCTCCCCCCTCCCCTGGGCCTGGAAGCGGGGGGGGGACGAGGTGTCAGAGGATATTTTCTGGTCCCAGCTAACTGCAAGAGGGCCTCCGCGAGTCCAAGATGGTCTCCAAGATGCATCAAGACATCCCAAGATGGCTCAAGATAGCCTCCAGCGCACATCCAAGAGGCCTCAACGTTGCCCCAAAATGGTGTCCAATGACCAGAGCCCTCCGACCCCCCCCCCCAAGAGACCCAAATAGCTCAGAACCTAGGGACAACCCGTGGTGATTGCCTTCTCGCGTGTTCGCGTCCGATGGGTTTCTGAGGCCTCAGGATGGTCTCAAGACGGCCCAGGAGAGGCTCAAGCGGGAGGGGCCCAAGAGGGCCCGACGAAGGCCCCACGAGCGCCCAAGAGCGCTCCAAGTGCGGCCCAAAAAAGGGCCCCAAGACGGCATGCTTGAGCCTCCGAGGGGTGGGACCCGAATGGATGAATCCCCATCTTCTTGAGCCATGGATCCCAAGAGGCCTCCCAGACCCCTCGCATAAGCCCCAAGAGGGCCCCAAGACCACCAAAACGAGCCCCACCAGAGCACTGAGAGTGCCCCACGAGGCCCCACGGGGACCCCAAGAGAGCCCCAACAGTGCGTCCAGAACCTCTCACAACAACGTATCCCTAAAGGCCGACTTCTCATCGTCCTTTTCATCGTCCGTTCCTTACCTCCTCCTTTCCTGCCTCATCCTCCCTCCCTCCCTCCCTCCCTCCCTCCCCTCCGCCTCCTCCTCCTCCTCCTCCTCCTCCTCCTCCTCCTCATCATCATCATCATCATCATCATCATCATCATCAGCATCAGCATCAGCATCAGCATCAGCATCAGCATCAGCATCAGCATAATCATCATCAGCATCAGCATCATCAGCATGATCATGATCATCATCACAGCATCATCATCATCATTGCAGCAGCATCATCATAATCATCATCATCATCATCATCATCATCATCATCATCATCATCATCATCATCATCATCATCATCATCATCATCATCATCATCATCATCATCATCATCATCATCATCATCATCATCATCATCATCATCATCATCATCATCATCATCATCATCATCATCATCACCATCATCATCATCATCACATCATCATCAACATCAGCATCAGCATCATCATCCTCATCCTCATCTTCATCCTCAGCATCATCATCATCGTCATCATCATCAGCATCAGCATCATAATACTAATCAGCATCATCACCATCAGCATCAGCATCACCATCATGATCATCATCATCATCATCATCACCATCATCATCATCAAGATCACCACAAGCATCATCATCCTCATGACCATACACATCATCATCCTCATCATCAGTATCCACATCAGCATCATCATCATCATCATCATCATCGTCGTCGTCATCATCATCATCATCATCATCATCATCATCATCATCGTCATCGTCATCGTCATCATCGTCATCGTCATCGTCATCATCATCATCAGCATCGTCATGATCATCATCATCATCATCATTATCAGCATCAACATCAGCATCATCATCATCATCATCAACATCATCAACATCATCATCATCATCAGCATCATCATCATCATCTTCCTCGTGCCGCATTCCTCCTCCTCCTCCTCCTTCTCCTCCCCTTCTTCCTCCTCCTGTTCCTCGTCCTTGCCCGTGTTTCCTCCTCATCCTCTTTCTCCTCCTACCCCCAAGATGATCCGATGAGGTCGAGCATGGCTCAAGATAGAGTCCGACAGACCTTCAAGTGGACTCAAGACAGCCTCAAGATGGCCTAAGATAGTTTAGTATGGTTTTAGTATGGTTCAAGATAGCCTCCGCTAGCCGAGCATGGCTCAAGATAGCCTCCAAGAGGCCTCAAGAAAGCCTCCGATGTGTCTGAACGGACTGGTGGGGATGCGCGAAGCGTCACGAATTTTGACAGGTCAAACGCTCGCGAAATATTGCAGTCCATCAACGTACGCTTACATGTGCGCTCGCAAACGTCGATTATCATGGCGAAGACGACCATCAATGTTGCAATTGTGAAAGTGGCGCGCGGCAATATGTGGCGATCGAGTGACAGGGGGGCGCCGCCACACATGTACATTGGCATGTGCCACACATATGATGATCTTCGAGAGAGCGTGATCCACCGCCGCTTTACAGCGGAAAATTGCCACCCTTTTCCTCGGGAACCCCGGGGTCTCCCCCCCCTCCGAAAATCCCCCCCTCTGCTGGAACCTCCCCCTCCCCCCCCCCTCCCTGGCAAAACCCCCCCCTCCCCTACCCCCCCCCCCTCCCTCTCGAAAACCGGGGCTACCGGTTCAACCCCCCCCCCCACTCAAAAACCGGAGGTGGGATCACTACCGGTTCGAACCCCTCCCCACCCCACTCACCGCCAGCAAACGACTCCCGGTCCCTACCACCGTCCGCACCACATCCCCCACTGTTGTTCCCAGCACCACTGTCCTCACCACCACTGTCCCCACTGGTTCCACCACCGTCCCTACTGTCCCCACCAGTGCCCCCACCACTGTCGCACTGTCCCCACTGTCCCCACCACTGTTCCCACCACGGTTCCACTCTCCCCACTTTCTCCACGGCCCCAACCACTGCCCGACTATCCCCACTGTCCCCACTGTCCCACTCGCTCCTCCGCTGTCCCACTGAGCTGTCCCACTGTTCCCACCACTGTCCCCACTGTCCCCACCACTGTCCCCACTGGACCTCTGTCCCATTGTCCCACCGCCGTCCTTGCCACCGCCTTCACCACTGTCCCCATCGCCACTGTACCCTCCACTGTCCCACTGTTTCCACCACATTCCCACTGTCCCCACACTATGTCCCCACCACAACCGTCCCCACCACTGTCCCACTGTGTCCACTGTTCCCACCATTGTCCTCACCACTGTCCCCGCCACTACCGTCCCCACTACTGTCCCACTGTCCCCGCCACTGTCCCGCTGTCCCCTCACAACTGTCCCCACCACCACCGTCCCCACCACTGTCCGCACCCCCTCGGTTTTCGAGGGGGGGGGTTCAACCGGTAGTGAGGTTTTCGAGAGGGGGGGGGGGAACCCCCCCACCCCCTTTTCATGATGGACTGGGGGGGCGGGGGACGGGTTCGAACCGGTAATGACCCCCCCCCCGGTTTTCAGGAGGGGGGGGGGGGGGAGGGGTTCGAACCAGTAGTGACCCCCCCCGGTTTTCGGCCAGCAGCGGTAGAACACGCTCTTTCTGATCTTCATCTACATATCATTAGAAGTGCGTATTCGTTTATGCACCCACCACCGTGCCGCAAGCACTGATTGGAGAGTCCTCTCATGGTCTCGAAAGCCAAGTCCGCCACCCAGCCACCTGGCACGTCGAGGCGTGGTCGAATGCCAAGGGCTGCCTAGTAGGGTCTCGGTTATGTTCTGCGGCCTCCTCCCTCTAATGAACGTTTTCTTATTCGGCGTTTCGACATTGGGCGGAAGGGGGGGAAGGGGGGGGTCTGGCTCCGGACCTCTGCTTCATGCGACTGTTGACAACAGTGCGTCCATTATGGGGGAGACTCCGCCCGCTCGAAGCGGGCGCCCAAAACAGCCAGGATCTACTCCCTCCTTGGGGGGAGGAGCGGGGGCGCAAGGGCCCGCTCCGATCGGCAAAACGACGAATCCGCCGACCCTGTCGGCGTGTGCGAGGGGCTTCCTCGTTCGTCGTCGTCGTCGTCGTCGTCGTCGTCGTCGTCGTCGTCGTCTCCTCGTCGTCTCCGTCGTCGTCACAAGTCGTCTCCTCGCCGTTTCCGCCGTCCCTCCTCTCTTTCCCTGGGCCCTCCTCCAACGCCGTTGTAGACTCGAAGGGAAGCCCATTCCCTTTGATCCCTTCCCCGCGCGGAGGGGGTCCCAGGGGGGGGGTAAGGGGGGGGATCCTGGGGGGGTCGCCACCCAAATTCGTTTTCCTCCCTGGCGGCACGGACACCTCCAACAGTCCCAGAATGAGCCCAGAATTCCATATACGGCGCACAATACGGCCAAGAGAGCCCCGACTCGCTCCAAGCTTGCCTCAATACGCCACAGATGGCCCAGAGACGGTCCAAGAAGCCTCACAGACGCCCCAGGGAGCCTCCAAGAGCACCCCCATGAAGCCCCAACATGCTACATCCATGGATTTCCTATACGAAAACGCACACTCTGTATCAATAGTATGCGGAGAAAGCGTCTATGCCACCTACTCCAAAAACCAGAAATATTACCACTCAGCGTCTGAGTCGGAACCGTCCGACTTCTGGCCCTTGAGACGTGTCTGGGCCATCAAACGTGCGAGCAATCCAGCGTCTAGACCGAAACGACTCCCTCCTCCTCCTCCTCCTCCTCCTCCTCTTCCTCCTTCTCCTTTTCCTCCTTCCCTCCT